TGCTCGGCTGGTGTGACAGGATCCCTCTTGGTCGCTCTGAGGGAATAAAATTAGAGCTGTTGCCCTTCCACTGCAGCACACCAGGCCGTAGGGAGCAACCTCCCAAGGAGAAAGACAAAATCACCCACATCATGGGCATGGATAACGTTTTGCTGTCTGTTGCCCTTAGTCCCCCGCCTGCTAAATTTGGCAGATTCCTCCTCGGTTGTCCCGCCAGAAGCCAAAATGAGCTGAGAAATTTCCAAGCCCCGCTGCTCTGCCCCAAAGGTCCCTCTCAAACCTCACTCAAGATATTGACTCTGTCACACTGACATGAAAATGCATCTCCATGCCTCAGCAATAACACTCAGAACTTTCCTGTCACAGAGACAACAGGTACTGGGGGCTTGCAGAGAGATTTTTGGAAGAACGAGGATTTCTGCCAGTTTCTCCTGCACTGCTCTCATGTTCCAGGGTTTTTTTTTCAAACACCCCCCCGCCTGCCGCTTCTCACAGCTCATGGCTGGGAGGGACAAGACCAGACACTTCTGACTGAGGTCAAAGCCCAAAAAACAGATCACAATCTTCTGGAGCAACTCTGGCCAAGGGCAAAAGTACCAGACAGCGCAGAGCCTCAGCGCGGGTAAACAACAGGCTCCTCCGTTTTGATGTGGAGAGTTAAGAGATGAGAGAGAAGAAAGTTAATAAAAGTTAGTGCAGTGTTTGAAGCAGACCTCACTTTTCAGACAGCACTCGACAGACTAACACTCCAATTTGAGGAAACCCACCTCAGTGTTGCAGCACAGGCACCATTCCACCAGCTCTGCACCGAGAACCCTCTCGCAAGTGAAACGGTGCAGAGAGCCACCCCCCTCGAGTGTGCTCCTTCATTAAGGATATTATAATTAACTGTATTCAATTTGCATTGCAGGCAGAAGCACACTTCCAAACAGCAATGGCCTCTGACCTATAGCAGAGCCCACCCAGCTGCAGAACCTCAGGTCAGGCACCCCTGGGGACGCTCCCTGAGAGCATGAAGGGGGGACGTGACCCCCATCGGTTGCCTGGGATGAGAGGGCCCAGTCTTACCCGGGACGTGCAGATGACCTCCCGCAGGTTGATGTTCATCCAGTTGTCACAGCTCACCAGGTGCCCATTGTACGTCTCTCCATTCTTCAGCTCCACCAGCTGCAACAGACGGGAGTCACGGGGCGCTGGCCCAGTCCTGGTACAGGGACCCGCCCTGGTGTCACCGGGCACTGGTGTCCCTAAGCCAGGGGAGAGCAGCAGGAGCGGGGCTGGGCCGCGCTGTTGGTACTCACCATAGGGTGGTTCTGTGCCGTCTTCAGCAAGGAGAGGGGCAACTGCGAAAGGAAGAGAAGAGAGAGGCCTTAGGCACCACCGGGAACCGAGACCGCAACACCAGCCCCGCCGCCCCAGACAGCGGGGAGAAGGAAGCCCAGCTCTCCCCACGG